GGGTAACCAAACATTAGTTTGACCACCCTCAAAATAAATGTCACAATAAAGAAGAGCTTTCCACACTAAAAGGAAAATTTCTGTGTTTCACTTTGTGCCCATTTCCTCATGTCTTGTCACTGGGTACTACTAAGAAGGTTTTGGCTTCAAATTCTTTACCCTTTCCTATCATGTATTTATAGACTTTGATAATATCACCCTGAGTCTTCTCTTTTCAAGGCTGAATAGTCCCTCTTCTCATTTGAGAGATGCTGCAGTCCCTTAGTCATCTTTGTGGCCCTTTGCTGGGTTTGCTCCAGTACATCCATGTCTGTCTTGTGGTGGGGAACTCAGATCTGGACCCAGCACCTTAGTGTCCTGGTCAGTGCTGGGAAGTAACAAGAGTAGGGGGGAAAGATATCTCCCACAACATGCTGGCAATTCTCTTCCTGGCACAGCCTGGGAGACTATTGGCCTTCTCAGGTACAGGGTTGCACTGCATGCTCATACTTCTGCATCAGGAAAAAGCTGTTTTTCGGCAGGTCAGCCCCCAGCCTGTACTGGTCCTTGGGGTTATTCCTCCCAAGGTTCAGGGGGAATTCTGTGTTTGGAACTTCATGAGGTTCCTGTCAGTCTGTTTCTTCCACCTATTGAGGTCCTTCTGAAGGGCAGCACAGATATCTGGTCTATAAATCAGTTTTCCCAATTCTGTATCATCCCCATGTGTTTGGAAATGTTTCTTCCTATTTCCAGGAGGATTTTCTCCATCGCTTTCCCAGGGATTGAGATGAGACCAGCAGGTCTGTAGTTCCACAGATCCTCCTTTTTATCCTTCTTGAAAAGAAGAGTGGCATTTGCTGCTTTTCTGTCCTCAGGAACCTCTACTGATTTTCATGGTCTTTCATAGATTATCGAGAGTTGCTGCCCAATGACAGCTAGCTTAATGCTTATATATGAATCCCATCAGATCCTGGATTAACTGGTGTATGTCCAATTTCTTTCAATGTTCCCTAACTTGATCTTCCTCCACCAAAGCTCAGTTTCCCTTGCTCAAGACCCTACTGGTCACAGAGACCTGGATTTCTTAGAAGCAAATCTTACCTCTAAAGATTGATGCAAAGGAGTCACTGAGTTCATTGGCCTTTTCCATATCTTTTGCCATCCATTTATCCTGACCCATTTGTTAGCAAGCCTACAGTTTTCCTAGTCTTCATTTGCTGCCTATATACATATTGATGACCTTGTTGTTCTTCTCATTCCTGGCCAGATTCAGTCCAGGTGGGCTTTGATTTTCCCAACCCTATCTTGCATCTTCACAAAGTGTCTTTATATTGCTCCTGTATCACCTGTGCCTGCTTCTACCCCTTGCACACTTTCTTTTTAGTGACTGAGTTTTTTGGAACACCTTGTTCATCCATGCAGCACTCCTTCCAGGCTGATCAGGCAATCAGCTTGTCAGAAGGGACCATTCTTGAGCTTGGAGGAGGTGATCCTTGAAAATCAAGCAACTCTTCTATAGCCCTCTTCTCTCCAGGACCCTATTCCTTGCATTTTTTCCAAGCAAGCCAAGCTTGCTTAGTCTTTCCTCATAGCTTCCTCATAATCTCAGCATTTGTTCTCTGGTTTGACGTTTCAGGTCAAACTGACAGGTATATATACCTACTATCTAATTTCATATATTAGACTTTTTTTTTTTTTTTTTTGCAAAAAAGAAAGAGGCCAAGGTCAGCTCTCCTGAAGTTCAGGGTTGTGGTCCCTGAAGTCCAGCATGTGGTCCTGATACTTTTCATGATCCTGAACTCTGCCCTCACGTGGTCTTTGTGGCCAAGGCTGTCCCAGAGCTTTGCATCTCCAGCTGGGTCTTCTTTGTAAATATAATGTGTTGTGGAGCACCTATCATTATGAGCTCCTGAGTCAGTTATGCCCTCAAAGCACTCCAGAGATCTGGAATGCTTGTGACTTGCTGTATTGTCCCTTCAACAAGTACTGTGGCTTTTGAAGTCCCCAGAAGGATCAGGTATTGTGAATTTCAAGTTTCTTCCACTGGTCTGAAGAAGGCATCATTTACTTCTTCCTGATCAGGTGATCTGTAGCAGAAACCCACCACCAGATCTCCTATGTGTATTTTTAGGTGTCTTTACCTTTATGTGTGTACCTTCCTGGAGTTACTTTTAAAGCTAATAACTGTATGTCTGTCATTTACATACTTCAGATTTACTTAGGTTTCCTGAAGGTGGGTGTGAAAATATTGATGAATTTACATTTTGCTCATGCAGTTTTAGAACATATATGTCTTTTGTTAAATTATTTCTTCAGTGCAATAGCTGCATTATTCATCTCTGTATTACTGCATTTAAAATCACAGGGAAGACTTCTGTTTTATGCAGAGGAATCAAGAGTACACCAAATACATTGCTTCTGTGTCAGTAAACACAGCATATCTTATGTGAGCTTGTCATTTTTGAGCAATTCTTTAAAGTACATTTAAAATACAATGTCTGTCATATAAATGTTTCCACACTGGAAGAACTCTCAATAATAAATATCATAATAGAATTTATAAGAATAGAATTACACAAAGTTGCTGTGTGAAAATCACTTTGGTATGTATTAACAATAGATCTTATCTTGCAATTACCATCCTTTTCCCCAGTTTCTTATTATTTGCAAAACAGTAAATATTTGGGCGGAAGTTAATTGTTCTTGTTCAAACATTTGACACATTCTTCATTACTTTTAGAGCTTGTGAGTCTTTCACCCAGCCACAGTTACAATTAAGACTGATGAAATCATTAGGTATGTTGTAAACATTCAGTTTATCCAAATAGAGTTTGGCAACATCTAAAAGGTCTTCTGTCAGGTTCATTCAATGTTTAATTATTTATTGTTGATACTGAATTCCAGTATGATTGTTATCATTTGTCATTGCACTTTATTGCAGTTACAGCAACTGATTTTTCTTTGTATGGCTGGTGGTTGCAAAATGGGTTCGTTTAAGAAAACAGGAGGGATAATAACATATTGTGAAAGTCTGCATATTCCTGGTGAAAATAAAATGATCTCTTATGATTCATGAGGAAAAATAATGAATACTATAACTGATAAGCAAGTAG